ACAGCTTTAGAGGATCATCACTGCCGAATGAAGCCCCTTGATTGCATTTGCGTTCAGATACCACGATGACTAGTGCATTTTGAGCGTTGATGAATTTTTCAGTTGAGGCTTATGATCACGCGACTGAGAGAGGAATTGAAAGGCTGAAATGGGAACTAACCAAAGGGAATCTCCGCGAGGGTAGATTAGCCCTGAAGTTTTGCTATTGTTTCCATGATGTGACTATTCCAAATTCGCGAACCGCAACAGTAGCGCTACTCATGACAGACGGGTTTCCCCTTAGTTTACGCAGCTTTCTTTGTTTTCGCAGTCGTGATCGCCGTGGCCACAAAACATCCATTAAACATTGAACAGAAAGATTTTGTTGCAGGCGCTTGTTGTTCGATTTGTCGGAGGCAACTGGTGCGCCCTTTGTAACTTAGAAAAATGACAGAAAATTATGCCTGCTGAGTGAAACTGGGTTAAAACGAACACTGACGTCATTGTATACTCAAGGCCCATATTCACAAACCAACCTCAACCATACCTCGAGTTTTCTTCATCGGGTTTAAGCCGTTATTGCTCTTGCTGAGCAAAGTAGGCTAGTATACATGAAGAAACCTCGTTGCTATATTTTACCCTTTTACCATTTCTGTGCGCTTATAACGGACGTCACGGAGAGTACAGAAACTTGAGGAAAACGTGAGGAAAGGCCGAGGTTGGTTTGTGAATATGGGCCTTAAGACCCACCGGAGCGTTCTCGTAAAACGTCAACGCTGTCATTAGAGCACGCAAGGGGGGTGGGGCAGGGGCTAGCGACTGTTTCCCCTCTAATCATATATAGGGAGCACATATTCTGCCCTACATCTTTACTTAGATCATTCATGCCAATTTTCGCGCATGGTTGTGGTTACACATGTTTTTTTTTTACTATAATGACAACTTAAGACCACTGATGTTGCTTTAGAAGAACTGTTCACGCCGCACCATCACACTGGAAAGCCTAGGACAGATGGCGGGGCTTTTCGAGGAGCACGGCATCGATTTATTTTCGTTATCTCATTTGTTGTGGACATTTGTTTTCGTGTTCGACTTACAACCTGCAGAAGGGAGGGGCATCGTGATGAAATTTGAGTCTTCCGCCCTCTGATGGAGAACCAATGATTTGATTGATTGATTGATTGATATGTGGAGTCTAACGTCCCAAAACCACCATATAATTATGAGAGACGCCGTAGAGGAGGGCTCCGGAAATTGCGACCACCTGGGGTTCTTTAACGTGCACCCAAATATGATTATGGCACAGAGGCCTACGGCATTTCCGCCTCCATTGGAAATGCAGCCGCCACCACCGGGATTCAATCCCGCGACCTGTGGGTCAGCAGCCGCGTACCCTATAGCCACTAGACCACCGCGGCGGAGTGATGGAGAACCGAGCACACCCCTGTTAATATAGTGCACAAAAGCACACACGGGTCATCAATGCGATTCATTATCGCCCACCGTACACTCTTATTGACCGTGTTTTCTTTTTGGCTTTCGCTGACGCTTAAGAACATACCGTAACTTTGGTTGCGGCCTTCTTCCGGGAGAGTTGCCGCCACAGAAGCGTCGAGGGCCAGTGTCAGTGCGAGGACCTTGTAGTTAACGTCGTAGTTGGTGCACTGAGAGTGATAATGAAATAATTCTATTATCAATCACAATTGGCTGTTCTGAACGCTTTTTCACGACTTGCTGAGAGAGGGTGACAATGTGCAGCATTTTTATTACAGCCCACATTAGGTAATCTCAATTTGTATATGCATTTACTTACTGTAGTGTAGCGCCAAATAAGACAAATAAACAGCAAGTAAACAAATATGAACGTGTATAAGAAAACCAGTGTGGATTTCAAAACAAATAGGCTTAGAAAATGTTGAAGTGAAGTAATAGCACGAAAACAATTAACCGAAAATTGCGCTTCTAACTGGAAACATTTGAAGAGTGTACGAAAAATGCGAATGCCTGCACTCTATCTCTGCGAAACACGTCACTACTTTCGAGGAGTGATAAGCAATAGGTCGATTGAAAGAGGCACTAATGCATGTAGGCAAACAGTTACGTTCACTGTGCAATTGTAAAGAAAAAACATTTAATGGTTGAATGGATGAACTCTATTTGGTCCTTCGGAACGCGCTTTAGCCCGTTGCGGGCCGCTCCCACGTCGGAACAGAAAGACCAAGACTCTCTGCTGCGTCGCGGGCCCATCAACATAAAAAAATCTAGGGCACAACGAGGCACATCCTTCATCGATTAAGGGCAACACAATTGTTCACACTTACGTGGTGCCATGCTGCGTTTTTACTGCAAAGAACTTAATAATGTCAATGAGCGTAGCTCGTCTTTTAAAAGAGGTGACGTCAGCCGGAGCACCACCTCAAAAACACGCCGGAAGTGATTGTTCATCGCCCGAAATAAAGGCTAGGTATTCGTTGACAAGTTCACATGCGTCTTAATCTTAGGCACCAATACATGTCAATGGGACGCACGAGTCTGGTAAAGTTAGGGGAAAACGTGTCATAGATTTATATAGCGCTGGAAGCGATCAGAATTGCAAGCGTTGTAAGCCTGTTCAAATTATACATTTCCGTACAAAATGCTTTACAAACTCCCAACTTCAAGCTTAACACATGCAGACCACACTCTTTGCGAAACGATTAGGGTCACGTTTTAGGCAGAGGGACTGATTACTTTGAGAAGGATGCTTCGCTTTTTTCAGGGTTTACTTGCGTTTATGACGAAGCTGACAAAGACTATCAGAGTTGATTAGCACTTACATTGATTTGTTCGCGTACTTTCTCCGTGTCGTTTGCCTGAAAAACCAAGAAGTGCACGTGTGGTCATATGCACGGACTTTATATATCGTGCTTTCAGTCATTTCTTAGATGGTGAAATAATATTTTGCTGCGGAAAATCAAGAGACGACTTACATTGTACGGTGTGCAGATGTCAAGAAGCTGTTCAGCATAGCAGTGAGTCTGGTAAACAAAAATGAAATACTGAGTACACTTTTTTTCAAGCGGAATTCGGTAAATGACTTTTACAACACTATTTAGATGGGAAACCAATTTGCCAAGAAGGTAAGCTTGTTGTACCGTGTGCAACCGCTATCGACTATCAACCTTAGCATGAGTAGCTTCATTGTGATTATAAAAATAAAGACATTTTAATTGTCAAAAAACGCACACGATGCGTAAGTCGGACGAATTTCCATGCCGCTTTTTTTGCACATAACACTCATATTTACATCCTCCCCGATTTTCTTTTCATTGCCTGTGTGCTCAAATCACGTCATCCGCGTGGGCACGCAGTTGAAAAAGAGCTGCGAAATCTGTGTTGTCTAATTTCCGCTGTACATGCTCGTTAATTTACTGCGAATGCTGCAGTAAATTGTCTATTTACAACAAACAGTCAGTTTCAGGCAAGCTGCAAGACTTGCGTGTCCGGCGAAAATTTGCATGCAGAACGGGGAATTTTGTGGGTCTTTAGAAAGTTGGAAACATTTTTTTGAATATTTTCATTCGACTGTACTATTTCTCGGCGTGAGTAAAAAGTCTTCATATTGTTACGGTGCATCATCGACAGGAGCAAGCGTGGCACTTAGCGAAGATGAAGAAGACGCCTGTGCGTTAGGCGCTTGCGCGAGAGGCAACTCAGACATCTTGTTCGGCTGCCGATCCTCGGTGGACGCTGCCCTGTAAGCCAAGACCTCGCCCCGTCACAATATATAATGAAATGTAAGAAATTGACAGTTATTTGAGGATGAATGAAATATTCCGGCTTGTTGAAAACACAACTTGTCTAGTGGGCATATTTACCTAGAGTTTCTAAATTGAAAGGCATGGTAGCGGAGTCTAAAGTAACAGCAGAGCTGGGTGGCAGTTTTTCTTTCTGTTCATTATTTCTTGCTCTCCTGGCTTTTTACGGTCGCTGTATTTGCGTTGTCTTTTTCGTACTGGATTGTTTCCATTTATTCCCGTTTACTTATTTCTTCATATTTCACGCTTTCTATCTCTACTTGTACCTCTTTCCCACGTTTCTGTCAGCCTTTTCTCTCCCCGTTTCCACATAATCTTCATTTTTTTTCTGTTTTCCTTCGCCATATTTTCCTGGTGTCTGTTTTTTTTCTCTTTCTATGCTTTCTTCATCTTTATATATTTCTTTTAATCTTTTTATCTCACTGCTTCTTTACCTCCATACCTCTATTTAATTTTTAGCTGTGTATCTTTTTTCTCTCTGTGTCTGTTTCTGTTAGTGTTGTCTCCTTCTTTCTACACATTTTTAACTTGTTATGCTCTTGCGTTATTTTCTCCCTGCTTCCTCTTGGTAATTTGCCTAACGTATTCTCTTGTCTTCCATTTTTATTTCTTTTTCATTTCTTTTTTTTATGTTTCGCCCTTTCACGCATTCCAATTCGCCGAACAGAGTTAGGACCAGCGCCTGAGCCAAAGAGAAAGGAGTGAGATGCGAGACTGCCGACAGCCGTCCATATTAAATGTGTATTGTCCTCCAAACCAATCAAGTGAGGTGCCATGAAATCGCGACGCCGCAATGTGCACAATAGAATGATCAAAATTGTTTCGGTGGCGACACCCTCCTTGAAGAAAAAGCGGCGTCAGCGTGGATGACAGCGCCGTCTCGCTAATTGAGCGTGGTGAGCGGCGACCCTTTTGATGCGAACGGTAGTACGAGCAGGCACCCATCGTCCAGTAGTTTTTTCAATTAAAGCAAGGAACACCTTGGTGTCAAAGCTACGGTGTCGTCGCTACGACCCTGTCAAAGACGTTACCTGGGCGGGTGGGGGGGGGGGGGGGGGCAACACCGTCGAAAGTGGCGTGTCTAGTGATTGGACAGTGTGGTTCGAAGTCATTCCCTCATCCCTAGATCCGGGGAAAAAGGATCCTTTATAACCGATCTCTGCGGGCCGCTTCGAGAGCCTTCGAAACGACATCGTCACGATATACGACGAACTATTCGTCTAGATGTTCGCAGTGTGGCGAAGGGCTCGCTTGTAAATAATGTAAAAAAAACTTCTGGAAAGTTTTCCTCTTCAGTTGTTTTCATGCTTAGCGTCTTCCACCCGGGTCCCCAGTGTGGGTAATGGCGAGGTCCCAACAACTCAACGCCAGAGTAGCAGCAGTTGGGATGCAGAGAACCTTCGGGTGCAACAGGGGCCAGTTCGACACGTGCAGCATATGTACTTGTTTTTGGATAATATATGCAAGGAAGCAAGAAAGAAACAGGAAAGAAAGGTAAGGCACGGATGTTAACCAGTCTAGAAAGACCGGTATGCTACCCTACACTGGGGACAGGGATTAGGGAGTTAGAAAGGTGGAAAAAGGTAGAGGACAGCACGCACAAACAAAGTCGCACTTCACAGTTATCAAAGCACTTTTAGTCTATAACCGCCGGTGCAAGTCTGTTGCCTTCAAGAATCTGAATACTGCTCTGATCGCCTCCACCCGTAGTGACCTCCCTGGACAACAATAATGGGTGCAAATTACCTAAAAACCTTGCATGAAACGGTGATCAAACTGATGGTAAAGCAGTATTGAGACTGGTGATAAAACGAAGGTACCCGGGCTTCCAGATTTTTGTAATTGCAGCATGAGCACGTTTGTGTACTACAGCAACGTGCACCAACGAAGCGCTTTGGGGAGAATATGTTTGACTTGTTACTATCCGCTGATGTCTAATACGGGGCCGGTTGATGCATATGAAACGGCTTACCGTGTCAGCGGTTAGAAAGTCAGGCACAGTGATGCTAGTGCAGGGCACTGCAAAGAACAGGGACATATTCAATGAAAGGTAGCGTTACCATATTAGCGGCTCAGAAGAATTACCGCAGTAAGAATAAACAAACGTTGGCATATTTAAAGCTGTTTTTGTTTGTTAGACACAACCTGAAGGAAATAATAAAAAGTTCACAAAACGTACAAGGAAAGGTATTGACAGTAATTTTTATGAAAGTTCAAGAAGAGACAACCTACGAATTTGGGATAAATCGTTCGATTCTCAATACTGACTGAGCCACAGGAGTGGTCGCCCTTCAATCCATATCATTTGGCATATGTGGGCGTGTAAAAGTGATTGATTGATTGATTGATTGATTGATATGTGGGGCTTAACGTCCCAAAACCACTATATGATTATGAGAGACGCCGAAGTGGAGGGCTCCAGAAATTTCGACCACCTGGGGTTCTTTTACGTGCACCCAAATCTGAGCACACGGGCCTACGACATTTCCGCCTCCATCGGAAACGCAGCCGTCGCAGCCGGGGTACGAACCCGCGACCTGCGGGTTAGCAGCCGAGTACCTTAGTCACTAGACCACCGCGGCGGGGCAGTGTGTAAAAGTGGCAGGATTAGTCAGCGCAACTCATAGCCGTGACGGCGAGTGTGAAAGCTTTTTAAATCGCCTGCTGGCTCTACGGAGCATGGCACCTATTTTTGAAGTTGCCGCTGACCAACCACAACATAAAAATAATTAACTTAGCGAAGCACACTCCGGGTGCCCAAGGTGGGATGGTATCCTTTTTGTTAGTCGTGAGTTGGAGCAGTTTAGAAGCTGCCACTGGAAGGTACTTCGCCCAGCAAGGCTCGCTTACTTACTGTGGGATAATTTCAAATATGCAATTTATTTGTATTCACAAATATCGCCCATTCAAGGGAGCCATATGCACACTTTATTCACGTGTGTCTCGTGTATGTCCTGGGCATAAAAATTGTCAATGCATTTTGAGCGTGTAACACAACAACAACAAAAAGGAAATTTAAAACAAACGAGATTGCAGTGTTGGTTTCAATGCGGAAGAAGCGACATGCACACTCTCGGCGACTTTCCAACTTTTTGCCATCGCCGTTGACATCATGTTCCATGTGAACCTTACTTCAATAACATCACCCCGTGCATTGTTTGATCTATGCGTGAGTAACAACGCATAGATCAAATAATGCGTGTGTGAGGCCAGCAGTGCACGACTCCTCAACCAGAAAGAAAACGCACCAGGCCTCTTTGGTCGGGCGAAGGAGCATCGGTTGGCAGTGGGGGTGTGCTACGTACGTCGCCCATGCAGCATCTAAGAATTTTTCACGGAAGGGCATGTTCGGGAGCGCTGGAGCGGGTGCTATCTCGACAGACACAAGGATATGACCTGTGAACTTGCAGTGCTGTATGGAGGCTTATTTATCGCACAGAGGACTTGCAGCTCGGAAACCGCCTCAATTTATAGAGCGGTCACATTCATATAAACCAGCGTTCTGTTGAGTTTGGAGAGATGAGATTCACACGAGTTATCTGCTAACTTCACACTTTAAACTTCAAACCTTGTGCGTTGATTCCTAAGGCTGCCCTGGCATTGGTCTTTGCCTCCACCACCACAGTTGTGGCTTCCTAAGTGTAGTAGGTTTGTCAAATGGGCGATTTCACCAAATATTCAAAGCATTCGGCAGGTGCTCGCCCCACCCCTTTTCCCCCCACCCTGAAAAAGAACTTTCGTTCAATACTGGCCTATCAGCGAGGCATATCCATAACTAACTCAAAATACACGAGCAGGTTTGTACAAGTAGCAATTCTTGGCTCAAAACACTAAAAATGACTTAAGTCACGAATAGCCTACTGTTTCACTTGAAGTGGAAACCCAAAATAAGCGAGATCTGTCAAGTTTTCTTAATACGGTTGCCTTCAAGCAATTTTGATAAATGTTTGAGCCCTTTGCGCGAGAGTCTATGCAATAAGACAGGAGCCATTGCATAACTAGGAGGCCAAAAGTGTTCGCCGGCATAGCGAGAGTAGTTTAGGAATAACGTGAGGGCATTTTTCTTCTTCAATGAAGCAAACTAGCTCATTGGACGATTATGCTAGTTCTATTGTTCAGCTGTCGCACAGAAATGATTCCCCGTGTATCAAAAAGACGCAAAGGTAACCTCGGAAAGCTTCGAATGCTAAGCAGTATTTCATTCGCCTGAATTCACAATAATTCATGCTTATCTAAATGCAGCACGGTAATTGGTTTATTTTTTGGCCCCACCGGGACATCCTGGTATTGATAACAAAAAGGGTTTTTAAAAATGTTGATCAGTTTACAATGCCACTAACACTTCGTCAACCAATAACATGTCTGCAAGGACAAAAAATCGTGCACCGCTACTATACTGAGTACTGAAGCATCAATTGATGCAGCTAAACTGATATCTGTGGACCGCAGAGTTTTCGTGAGTTAACTTCACCCCAAAAATATATGATGGGTTCAGCGAGACCTTTGTAATAAATATTAGGCGAATGTTCTTTCTAGACATCCCTCACTATTCACAAAAACTGTTCGGCACATTTCTTTAACTGGAGATTTTGGCGAATGAATATGCTTTGAACTCAATATTGAGCTAAGCGAAGTGTCTGTTGACATTGCCGTTATGTACTGCAGGTGCTTTTCTGCAAGAAGCACACCTCTAAGGTAATACTTCCTTAATGAAAGCGCACTTTTTGATAATCGTTGCTGAATTACTCCAGTAACGTGGCGCCAGTGCTTACCAGATCCTGCCTCTACCGCAGCCAGCAGTGATAAAATGGCTGAAACAATAATAGTCACCATGTTGTCTGCTACGAGAATGAATGCCACGGACTCGAAGCTCGGAACACAACAGCGTTCCTTTTATCGTTCGCGCCGAAACGAAAAGTCATGCCCACCTGTGGACTTTCCGTAAATGAACAGACACATGCGCCGAATGTTGCACGCGAATGTGACAGAAAAGCTTGGAACGGTCGCAATAGCTATGTGAAGGATATTGAAGGAAGAACGGACACCTAAGCCATGCGACAGGATGCTATTCCAAGAGAAAATAGTTGAGCCTGCTGTTCTGCCGGATATGCTGCAGCTGAAGAGAAAAAGCGTGTGCGAATGATTCATGTGTTTTAGTACCGTCGCCACGGGTCCAACAAATTTGCCTTGTCAATGGCAATCTTTGTAGCCTCAGAAGTCATCGCCGCTGAACGTTTTACGCACGACGCGTTTTCTGCATCCATATGCAGTCATGGACCCTCTAGTAATGATCCGCAGGTGATAATGAAAATGAGGGACGAATAAAAAATTGGCAGATCCCACGTTTAGTGGGAATCGATGATACGCGCAGCACGAATGAGAATGTTTGACATGTCACTTCAAAATCAGCGCAACGTTACGAGGTGGAGGTAAATGATAGCGTACATGACTTACGTGTCATGATTATGATGTTTGGATGTGTCGTTTACCTTCGTCATCTTTTCACACCACGTGATACCAAACTTAGCATATGTGGAACTAGCGGAACGGCCGCGAGCACGCTATGAGCGCGGTATGTTGCCATGTTAAAACATGACACACGTGTCAGGATTATCATGTTTGCACCAGTCGTATATTTCGTCATCTATTGACGTCACGTAACACCAAATTTGGTATGTGCGAAGCTAGCAAAACGGCCCAATATATACTCCTATGTAGCGTTTACGCGCGCGCAAGCCGCGCACAGCGATGCTACGTTAGCAAAACGCGAGCACTCTATGGTCTGACGCCAGGTGCGACCAGCGTCCGTCGGCACCGCCCGACGCCAACCAGCGCGAAATGCGACATGCCGCATTCGTCAAAGCAACGCAGTGCGGCGCGCGCCTGCGACTATATGGCAGGACCGGCGCCTGGCGTGGCAACGCCGGCGTGACGCGACAAAATGAACGCCGGCGAGCACGCGCACCACGTCACGTCAAAATGTATTGGCGTCTTGACTGTGGCATGTACTCCTGTTCTCACATGACACGCATCTAATGATTATTATCTTTCCACCAGTCACATACCTTCGTCATACATTGGCGTGACTTAAGAAATTTGGCATAGGTGAAGGTACCGAAACGCCGCTAGCGCATCATCAGCGTGGCATGCGATCATGTTACATGACCCGCATGTCGTGATTATCATGTTTCGATGCGTCATTTACCTATGTCGTCCATTCGCGTCGCGTAATACCAAGTTTGGTACATGCGAAGCTAGCGAAATGGCCGCGAGCGCATCGTGAGCGTAGCATGTAGTCAGGTTGTTACATGACACGCATCTCATGTTTATCACGTTTGTACCAGTATCATACCTTCGTCATCCATTCACATCTCGTAACAACAAACTTAGTATATGTTAAGCTAGCGAAATGGCCGTGAGCGAATGATGAGCCTGGCATGTCATCATGTCGTTACATGACACGCATCTCATGATTATTATGTTTGCACCAGTTACATACCTTCTTCAGCCATTCACCTACTGTAATACCAAACTTTGTATATATGACGCTAGCGCAACGACCGGGAGCGCATCATGAGCGTGGCAAGTAGTCATGTTGTTAATTGACACGCATGTGATGATTTTTTGTTAGGGTCTGTCGCTTGTTTTCGCCATTTAATCATGTCATACCATACCAGTTTCGCAACATGCCATGTGAACGAAACCACCGCAAGAGCTGCAGGACCATGAAATGTAAATCACGACATTGATGACACACATGTCATGATTTTTATGTTATGACTAGTGAAGTATCTTTTTCATACAGTCATGTTATGCTATACCAAGTTTGGTATCGATACCATTATTGAAACGGCCAGGAGTGCTAAAAGTCGTTGGCGGACAGATAGATAGATATATATATAGATAGATAGATAGATAGATAGATAGATAGATAGATAGATAGGGAGATAGATAGATAGATAGATACGCTAAATGTCGCCGAAGATTGCTAAGAAATGTTTCGCAATAAATATCTGCAATATTCATTAGCAGGGACTGTTTCGAGTGCGATTCGAAACGGGTGTCAAGCCAACCAGTTTGCAGCAGTGAAATCCCATCCAACGCCGACGTCCTAAGAGGGCACCACCAGATCCCTGCCCTCACAAGTTGGTGACGCGAGCTCCTGCTAATACTTGGCCTGAGAGACGCACTTTCGATACCACCATGGTTGTGTCTACATATAAGAAGGAAAAAAAAAACACCCTGAAATTGGACGCTTTGGAATGTTGCTAATCATTTTCGCTTTGATTTTCTGCTAAGAACCTATTCTAAAACTGAAGCCGGCCCTAGTAGTGACGACGAGGCACCTGGATACGCGCACTTGGTCTGTGCTAACTGACATGAAGATACAATAAGATGAAATTTTGTGCACATGACAAGCGCTCGTAGCCTGTCCACATTAAGAAGCAGTGCACTGGTGAATCTCTGTAATTTGTCTGTAATTTGTGAATAACTGTGAAATATATCCTGATGGCTTAGAACACCTTTCGGGTCTGCCAATCCTTCCAATATACATGGTTCGCCTTCTTCCACTGCCCACCAACAGAGAGAAGACCACGCTTCGGTGCTGTGCGCGTCTCATCACTAGCCAGGCGTCCATGCTGGCGCTTCACCCATGTCAGCATCAAACTCCGAAGAGCAGTACAATCTGCGTGTCTTTGGGTATGTGAGACCACTGTGTAATACATTTCGATGAAGCATAAACAGAAGAATATTGCTTGTGCAGTCACATGTGGAAGCTTTTTGAAACCACCATTGCGTTTTTCTGCCACAAAGACATTCCTTCTTGCCGTACCTTGCCTCTTACGTTATTCGTACACAAATGTCTGACGACAAGTTAGATCGTACATCAGTGTAGATCTTCACTCCTCATTATCTCACGCTCGCGAGCGTGGGATAATAAGAAATTTGAAGAGGTGCCGTGAAGACACACAGGATTCTAGAAAATGAATCCAGGCAATCGAAGAAAAACCGAATCCCAGAGTCGTCACTAGTCGACACACGACGCAACACCGAGATCATTGGCATTATCGTTACTATCGCATCGTCACTCAGTGCCTGTGGCATTGCCTGGGTGATTGTTGGACACGCCAAATGCTGTTGATGTAACGGACTCTGTTCATACTGTGATCGCAAAGCTTTAGCATTGAAGGTAACAAGGGAAGGCCACATATCGAGCTCAAAATTTAACGTGATTGCTCCTTCAAGAAAAACGGCCATTTACTGGTGGCTGTGATAGTAGGTAACGTCGCGTGCCACGGCAGAGTGACTGACTGTGACAAAATGTGTGTGTGTGTGCTCTTTCATTCTGGATCCTTTTTTTTCCTTTCCATTCTTCGGTCTACCTTATCCCGTTCCCATGTATGGGGTAGCAAACCGGTTGTTTTAAACATGTTAACCTAGCTCTCAGATTATCCTTCTCTATTTCTTCTCTCTTGACAACCATAAAAAATGAGATGTAGTTAAGGCGTTAGCCTTAGAAGCATCATAAGACGCAGAAATCAACCACCATTTTCGGTGTCAGTGTCAATCTGAGGGATTGAAAAATCGCCATGTGATTATGTATTTATATGACGTCATAGTGACGCGGCAAATTGCAGTAATTTGTGACATAAAACAATATTATCCCACCGTCGCACAACGCGACTTCGCACGATGACGACCTCAAGCGGAATCGTCACTTGGGAAAAAGTGAGCCAATCTCGGAGGCAATGGACAGCCACTTGAGGTGCGTAAAGATTGCAGTGCCCGCGATGTCAGATAAAGTGCAGAATCATGATAGGTACGAAAAATTTTATAGCAGATGGATTAACACAATTGACTCAGAAGGAAAAGGAGACAAAGAAAATGTCTTTCGCCTTTTCGGTCGTCTTCTGCAAATTCACAAGAGACCACGTCTTGTTTTCGCTAGTTATTTTAATGTGAAGATCACGCCTGCTTGTCATTCTCAGGTAATGCCTTTCAATATGCTCATACCATTTTCGCAGAATAGTATATGGCTGCTGCCGTATTTATGTACGAGAGAATAGAAGAAATGATGGGATATCCAAATGGCTCAGTTGGTAAAAACAAATATTTTATTTTAATTGTTCATTGGTTCTCAGTTTTGTGCCCTCACAGCACAAAGATTATTTCGTATCATTCTATTCTTGAAACTCTTGTTCATAAAAGCGGCAGAAGTAATGTCATGTCTGGAATGTGCGGTCAGTATGATACATGTTATATATTTCGGTCCAGTTATGTTCACCACAAACACCTCGCCAGCACGTCTGTAAACAAGCAAAATAGAGTAATTAGCAAGATGAGCCTGACGGTAAAAGTAAAATTCCCAGAAATGGGGCACTGGTGATGATACCAAGCTCGATGCTTTTTTTTAGGCACCTTGACTCCAAACTTCTTGTAGCTAGACTTATGTTCGCTCGAAGAAAAGCATTATAGCTCAGAAGTTGTGATATCAAGGCTACAATACGCGAGAGCTGTCTCGCGTCGTTTAGTAACTAGGTGCTAAATTCTACACTAAGTAGCCTCAACTGAAACAGAACTTGAGAGAGAGAGAGAGAGAGAGATAAATAAATAAAAGGAAGAGAGAGGGAGGTTAACCTAGACGAACTGGTTTGCTACCCTGTACGGGGGTGGGGAAAAGGATCGGAAAGAGGATAAAAATAGAGAGATAAAAAATAAATTAGAAAACAAAACACATGCGCACACATTCAGGGAGTTCCGATCACAGTCGTTTAGACAGGCCGGTTGAACGCAAGAAGCGCAGGAGCGCCTTCACAGCCTTCTTCTGCGACATAAAGTCCTGTCGGCAGCGCAGGATTCTTTCTTCGAAAGTGGCTGGTTGTCCAGTTCGTCTAGTGCATTGCAGAGTGACTGTCTCTGCGAGCAGTATTGTGGGTATTCACACAGAATGTGCCCAGTTGTTTCATTACTGCCACAATGGTCGCATGCAGCGGTGTCGGCCATTCCTATGCGGAACGCGTACGCATTGGTAAATGCGACGCCCAACCATAGTCTGCACAGCATAGTAGCGTCTCGTCGGCGTAATTCCGGAGGAATTCGAAGACTAAGAGTTGGGTCCAAAGTACCTAACCATGCATGGATGAAATGTGACTCGTTCTATTGTGAAGAGGTGCGCTTGCGAGCAAGCATGTGGAGTTTCCGTGCAGCGTCAGTTCTGGAAAGCGGAATTGATATTTCATCGCTTTCAGTATGGGCAAAACGGGCAGCTCGATCGGCCCGTTCATTGCCAATTATTCCACAATGACTTGGGAGCCATTGAAAGGCTATTTCATGTCCTTCCTCAATGAGTTGGTGAGTGTTTTCTGCAATCTCAAATACCAGCTGTTCGTACGGGCCGTGGCGTAAAGGTGATAGAAGGGATTGCAGTGCCGCCTTTGAGTCACTGAAAATTGTCCATTTTTGTGGCTGTTGGTCGTTGATGCATTGCAATGTGGCACGAAGAGCTGTGAGCTCTGCTCCCTTTGATGTCGTAAGGTGGGAGGTATTGAATTTTCTTGTCGTGTCTTTTATCGGTATAACAAATGATGCCGTTGAACTCTTCTGTAAAACAGAGCCGTCGGTGTATACAGCCTTGATACGTCTCGTATAACAAGAGCAGAGCAAGCTGTCTAAGAGCAGGTGACGACATATCTGCTTTTTTCTGGATGCCAGGTATAGTTAGCCTGATGTTAGCCTGAGTCAGGCACCAGGGAGGAGTCGAAGGCCTGGCGGCGGGTGTGAAGCATGTTGGCAAAGAATCGCTATATGTGGTGACCATTTGGCAAAATGACGAACGTGGTCTGTCTGCTGGTAAAGAGGCTAGGTGGTGGCAGGGTGTCCGAGCAATATGCCTTATATGTGTCCTGAGTGCCTCAAAGTCGATATGTGTCGTGATGGGGTGGTCACCAGCGATAGCTATAGTAGCCATTGTCGACGCACTACGAGGCAAGCCGAGTCAAATCCAGAGTGCCTGGGACTGAACACTCCGTAGCGTTCGAAGGCTTGTTTTGCTTGCATTGGTCAATGTCGGTAAACTGTACCGCAGAAAACCGAGAAAAAGTACTCTGTACAGCTGTAGCATTGCACTGGGAGACATTCCCCAAGTCTTCCCTGTAAAGAACTTTAGTATACTACAGATGTCCATTAACCGTTTCTTCATGTACGAAACGTGATCGCTCCATGAGAGATTCCTGTCAATTATGACGCCCAAAAACTTGTGCGATCGAACGTATGGTACAGTTTGACCATTGATGCTTATAGTGTACTTATCCATAGGCTTTCATGTAAAAGCTACGAGGGCGCATTTCTCGGAAGAAATTTCCAAGCCTTGATTTCGTAGGTAGCGTAATGTTTCAGTGGCAGCTTTTTCAATTCTCCCTCGTAACTGCAGGCGTGTTACAGCCGATGTCCAAACGCAGATATCATCTGCGTACTTTGATAGCCTGACCGTGCTTGGCAGATGCTCAGTGAGAACAATTAACGTAAGATTGAACAGCACAGGGCTTAGTACGCCACCCTGGGGGACGCCACGGTGGCTGTAATGTGGAGAGGTTGGACCGTCTTCAGTGCTGACAAAGAAGGATCGCATTGACAAATAACTACGTATCCAGCGATACATTCGACCACCTACTCCTATATCTTCGAGAGCGGTGAGAACAGCTTCATGCGTAAGGTTGTCGTACGCCCCTTTAACGTCTAGGAACAAAGATGCGCAGAGACGCTTACGGCCTTTCTCGTGTTGGACGTAAGTGACCAGGTCGACTACGTTGTCAATCGATGCTCGACCACGCCGAAAACCTACCATGGCATCTGGGTAGATGTTGTTACACTCCAAGAACCACTCCAGGCGTCCCAGGATCATCCTCTCCATAACTTTGCCTACACAACTAGCCAATGCGATCGGACGATAAGATGAGAGCTCCAACGGTGACTTGCCTGGTTTCAGAAGTGTAACTAGGCGACTTGTCTTCCAGCTTGTCGGGAGCACTCCATCTTGCCAGGATTTGTTGTGCAGCTCCGAAAGGAGGATTCTCACGCGTTCACCCAGATGACACAAGGCCCTATAAGAAATTCTATCGGGCCCTGGTGCCGACGCGCGTCCACACAAAGCTAGTGCTGCTCTGAGCTCCCCGATTGAAAAAGGCATATCCATGCGGGAATCCAGTGTTTGTGGACAGTTAGTCGAGGGCAATAGGCTATTGGGCACTGCGAGTGGCCCAGATACTCTGGCACAGAAGTCTTCTGCCACGTCAATGCCACGTCTCTGTTCAGAAAGTGCGAGAACCCTAAATGGTGACCACTGAGTGGGTTTTGTGCGGAGACCTCGTACCGTCTTCTACAATTGGGATAAAGGTTTTCGTGGGTCAAGTGACTCACAAAAAACAGTCCAACGTTGTGACTCGAGTTTAATTATCCGGCGCTGAATCTTCTTTTGTATACGTCGCGCGATTCGTAAGTCTTCTAATGCCTCCGTGCGTCGGTATCTTCGTTCCGCACGCCGTCGGATTGCTCGAAGTCGTTCTAGCTCGATGTCAAATTCTGTTACTTTGGGAGAGCTGGTGAGGGTACACGTAGTATTGTGTATTGTGCTTTTAATTATCTCCTCTATGTCGAGGGATATGTTTGCTTCACATTGCTCTTCCATGCGAGACTGGAATTTTAACCAGTCCACTCTCTGAGTACTATCGCGTACCTTAGCACAGGACAATCCTTCGATTTTGACGTAAGTGGGAATGTGGTCACTTCCATGCGTTTATATGTCTGGAAACCACTCAGCATGCCTGACGAGGCCTCGTGAGACAAAGGCCTGGTCAAGGCAGCTGCTATACCTTGAACCACGTAGGAACGTTGGACTGCCATCATTTAGCAAGAAAAGTTGGTTGTCGGAGGCGAAGGACACCAACTCTCTCCCTTTAACATTGGTCTTCGAACTTCCCCATATTGTATGATGGGCGTCGAAGTCGCCAATTATAATGCATGGGTGAGAAGTTGCTGACAGGATACCTTGTAGTCTTGTATGGTCGAAACGGCTTGACGGAGAGAGGTAGGCACCCACAACCGTGATGGTAAGTCTCCTTTTCACTGTTATACTTATATATTGATTGTCGTCATGGGGTGACACCGGATGATGGATGTAGGTGAGGTCGCGGCGAATAAACATCAGAACTTTGCTATTGTCCGCAGTTGTAGACAACATGAATGACTCATAACCAGAAAGTCTGATTTCTTTCTGTAAATTTGGCTCGCAGATGACAATGATGGGGAACTTATTGGTGTACACAAACCGACGGAAATCGGCGATGCGTGACCTCAGTCCCCGGGCATTCCATTGAATAATCGCTGCCTTTCGGACCTCTTCTCTGAAAGACAGTGGCTGGTGAGCCATTATTTACTCAAGCGCTGCGAGTACTGGACTCAAAGCGTCCAGTAATTGCAATGCACTTCTTGCTGACGGTGTGTGCATGTTGCTTAACAACAAGCGAATGGCGTTAATTAAGGGTCGCAAAAGAGCTATCACTTGCTGACCTGTGTTCCGCAAGTCCTCCATTACAGCAGCTTGCTCTGATGAAGATGGCTTCTGCTGCGGCTCTTCTGAGCGTTGTGTACGCGTAAGTGGAGGCCACTCTTCTGTAGAGACTGGTCTGCCCCTTTGCTCTTTTACAACGTCTGTGTTTGCCGTGCTGGAAACTGCAGCTGGCGATCTTTCCTGATGCGTCGACTTATTGCCTGAAGTTGGCGCTGTCCGACGTGAAGACCTTCGACGGCGGCGTCGTCTTCGCCGGATTTTCTCAGCAGCTTCTCTGTGGGTTGAGCTGTCTCGTAGCATTTGCTTCAGAATCGAAAACTCTTTCTTTATGTGCGGACATTCTTTCGAAGAAGCCTTGTGAGCACCCTGACAGTTAGGACACCTTAGTGTCGTAGCGCTACAGTTGTCTTCCGCGTGTGGTTCGGCGCACCGGGGGCTCGCTGCGGAGTTTCTGCAAACACCCTTTACATGGCCGATCTTCTGACAATTGAAGCATTGCACGGGTTTAGGAATAAACGTTCGAACTTGTTGACGAAAATGGCCAACCTTCACGTATGCGGGAAGACAGTCACCTTTGAACGTTACTCTCCCACAGCGTGTGTTACCAAGCCGTCCAACACTGACAATGACGTTGTCTTGACTCGCTGGTTTTATAAGTATTGGAAGGCCTGCATTTGGGATTTCCGTGTTAATGTGGTAAATGACTCCTTATGTGGTCGCACCATCGGCTGGTATGATGGGCCTAACTTCAATGTTTCCCAGTTGTGTTACTTGTTGCAGCGTGCTCAGCGCACTCGGGTGCACCACATCGACAGCCAGGATGTTTCTTCTTGTATTAAGCCGTACTTCTTAAATCTCCTTCGGCCCAGTGTTCTCGAAATAGAGCGAAAGCGCTTGCCTGTTCAGAGCACGCAGGCTTTCGGTAGCGTTCTTTGGCACGAACAGGATGGAATGGGGCCATCGCTGGGGCACGGTTTTCACGGTGGCTGTACTTGACACCGGCGATGAATTGATGATCCGTCGCTTGGCCTTGCGGTGCAGGACAGGTTGAAAGCCGTCGTCTGAGGACTCGTCGCAAGATGCGGAGTACAGCTCAGTGTCATCGCTCTCACTGGAAGTGTTTCCTCGCTTCCTCGAGGTAGTGGCCGCGGTCGAACCGGAGTCAGACGTCACCCCGTGAGGTTGTACATCCATTACCGCAACGTACGGGGCAATACACCCCACAACTGCAGAGAAAAGTCCAGAAAAGCACTAAGACGAGTGAGATGTGTTCTACCAACAGAACTTGAAATTCGTGTAAACACATGCATCAGAACTTGAAATTCGTGTAAACACATGCATCGCGACTTTCGAAAGTGAGAATGTTTTTAGGCAGGCGAAGTGCAAAAACAGAAGCAGCGAAAGGACCGAAACGTGCAAGGCGCTCAAGCTCTGGTCCTGTCACCGCCCGCGTATATTGCACTTCTGATGCCGGAAAACGCCGCGTTACCTAGAAAGCGCGTAGAAACTAAAGTTGATCCGCTTGCTTTTACAAGGTAGTTGCGCTCCATATGTGACTACGGAAGTCTATGCGCGAGCTAACGAATCAAAGAAACATGCATCGCGAAACAGCCACAGATTTCTAACTGCTGAACTCCAAACAGGTAGAAAAAAACAAAGACGCGGACAATTTCCTGCTGCTCAAATCACATGAACCACAGTAGAAGGAGGGCAGCCCGTCTGCTTCGCAAACCGGGAGACCATGGAAGATAGTGATTTAACACTCTTCACGACAGCCGCCGCAGACAGGCCTCCGTTCATGCGAAGCTTTATTTCCATGTACGGTATCCGTGGATGTTCTCACCGCGCACCTGAGCTAAAACGCCATCGGGGACCGTAGGCAGATAAAAAATTTGGGGGTCACTCAGACTGAGTCTCACCGAGATTTTTCTCAGCCTATAGCTCACTCCGACTCAGACTTCAGGCTTCAACAAAGCCTGAATAGACCTGAGTGGCTCGACTGACGCATAATTTAGCGTGATATCAGCTCTTTTGATTAAGGTGTCAACGCTCGTTGACGTCAACATGTTACGTGATCGATACTCTACGATATGCATTTTGATCATGTACCTCAATATACGAGTTATCAGTGATCCCAATCCAGCAGTAAGGACTTTTATATTAATGAAACGTGTGACATAAACGAGGGTTTTGTAAATAACTTCCCATGAAAAGTTCGCGCGGGGACTTATTGCTTCTTCCCAATTCATGCCTCTGATCACGAAGGCGAAAATGCTGTAGGCACGTGTGCCCATATTTGGGTGCACGGTAACGAACCACAGGTGGTCAAAATTTCCTGTGCGCTCAGCTATGGCGTCTCGTAAAATCATATTGCTATGGTATGAGCCGGGCTGTAGTATGTGCCGGGTAGGTAGAAGAGGAAGACGACGTTTTCTGGTGCGGGCTGAGGACTCCATCTTTACCGCGTCTGTCGAACTTCATCCTCACCCTGTAAATAAATCCACATATCCTTTAATTCAACCGTAACAGTTTTTTGGTGGAGGCGCTGGGTAATCAACCAAGCAACACGACACTTCAAGCACCTGATCTACGACGAAGCCGCCGCCTTGCTGGACTGCCCCCGTTACCACTGGCAGCTGAGATGTCTCACGGCGAAGAAGGAAACCGAATCCCTGCAGCTGCAGACCTTCTACCAGTCCCAGCAGCACCGCTAGTGCCAGGTTCGCGTGCGGCTGGTCCCTGGTTGCGTCAGGATCTGATAGTGCCTCGCACATTCGGTAGCAAATCTGGCGAGGACGTGGACGCCTGGTTCACACACTACAAGCGGGTGAGCAAATACTACCAGTGGGACGCGGCGACCCAGCTGACCAATGTAGTATTTTTCTTAACGGACACAACACTCGTGTGGTACGAGAACCACGAAGATGCCCTCACGTCATGGGATCGCTTCGTTTCCGAAATAAGAGCGTGCTTTGGAGACTCCGTAGCTAAGAGAAAGCAAGCCGAACAAACGTTACTGCAGAGAGCTCAGATCGCAGGAGAGACGTGCACGACCTATGTCGAGGCAATCTTGAAGCTCTGCAAGATTGTCAGCCCTTCTATGTCAGAGGAAGACAAAGTTGGCCACCTGTTGAAGGGCATTGCCGAGAATGTGTATCAGTTCCTCATCGGCAAAGACAGCCTTGCTACGGTAACCGACGTCATAAACCACTGTCGCACATTCGAGACCCTGAAGATGCGACGTATCACCCCCTAGTTAGGTCGCCTACCGAATGTAACCACCGTAGCAATGTTATAGTTTCGGGACGTTAAATCACACATATCAATCAAATCAATCAATGCCTCTGATCAATAACATACATAGATGCCGCTTGAAGGCTAGTGTGTTCATATATGCGTCAATACACTTGAGTATAAATATAAGCCGACATAGGGCTGTCAATAAGGCTAAAAATGAATAGTCGGAACTGTATGTCAGCCATGAAAGGCGGAGGTCACTCAGGGTCACTCAAAAGCTATAGTTTCTGCTTAGCACTTGCCGAGGCACAGCTTAAATAATATTTTTCTCAACCAGACTCACTCGGACTAGAACTCGTCAATTTATTACTCACCCGACTGAGTCGACTCAGGAGAGAGTTTGCTTACCCATGACTCAATATAGTTTAAAATAACTTAAATTAAACTTAAACTAAACCTAAATTAAACTTAGAACCCAAATTTCCCAAGTTTTGTTTGAGGGGAACAGATAAGCAAAACTTTTCCAAATGAATTTCAGACGTCACCGTGAAGTTACATACACTGCCACTGTTAGGTACACATAGTGGTAGGTCAGCGTTCTATTTGGAACATTTAGTAACACGAGAAAAGCACAATGTGTAATCTACACAGCTGAAAACGCGCTAATACGACAATGTATTTCAGTGATAACTTAATTAGTAGTTATGGTTACAGTTCAGTGGGAAGTCCTGGGTGCTGACATGACATGTTGGTTGTGAACACTTATAATAGAAAGAAAAGGTCCATGCCACCTTTGTCAAGCTAGTGAGTGCAAGCGAAAAATATGGTACGAGTACCTTGTTCTCGCCAGACGACATTGCTTCCAGCAAATTGTGGGGCTGGCATTCCTTTAGGTCTTCATAATTATATAAATCATCGTAAGCACTCAAGTCAATACTAATGTCCTCCCGTTCTTGGAAGTTGGAGATCTTTGACTTCCAGCAACAGTTTATTTTGCACTGTTGGTAGTCAGTGTCACTTTGCTGAAAAAAAAATCAAATTAGCAAACCTGTAAAGATGTGATAGGCCTAAGTATTATAATAATGTGAATAAAAAAAAGACATTTCACCCACTCACTCACTCACTTACAGTAAGCGCGGCATTGATTTAAAAAAATGAAAGGAGCTAATTAGAAAAATGTGGGCAGCCCCACTTTAGTCGAATGATGGGGAAGTGCCAAACACTCCCTGTCCCCGTTTTTCTCGTTTTGATTTATTTCATTCACGACCGCATTTTGGGGTCGGCTCAATACCAACATATTGCTTGTGATTGTCTGGCTGTCACCTTGGGATTTTCCTTACATGGTTTTCGTTTCGGTGATGATGATATGTGGGATTTAACGTCCCAAAACTACCATATGATTATGAGAGACACCGTAGTGGAGAGTTCCAGAAATTGTGACCATCTGGGGTTCTTTAACGTGCACCCAAATCTGAGTACACGGGCCTACATCATTTTCGCCTCCATCGAAAATACATCCGCCGTCGCCGGGGTTCGATCCCACGACTTGCAGGTCAGTAGCCGAATACCTTAGCCACTAGGCCACCGCGGCGGGGATGCAATTCGGGTGCTGTGCCTGTTTTCCGAAATATGGTTGAGCCGTCGAAGTCGTCACTCTTCATCTGCTTTCTCAGCTCTGAGATCTTCCCATTGTGGATCCCGAGCGAGTGCGCGCCATCGTTTTCGGCAAGCCTCCTCAGTGGCGTCCGTGGCAAACAAATAACAAAAATTCTTTACGTACACATAACATGCTAGCTATACTTTTAGTTTGTTATGCTATTCGTGACTCCAGCTGAGCGCTCGCCCCCAAGCGGCCAAGCCTGAAAACGACGCTAACAGGTACAAATTTGATAGGAGATGTGTTACCACGTTGCCACCATTGTGAAGCGGCCTTTATTTTCGCCATGCCGCATGCGGGAGCCTGAAAAAGGAGAAAGTGACGTAGAAAGACCATTGCTGTGTGCCGAAATGTGTGGTGTCGCGGTGGAAAGATGGCAAAGTATCGTTCAATCACTCCCTGAAAAATGCAGACAACGCGCGACAGAGATTGGCTTAAATCAGAAACTTGCCCATTTGGAAGAAGGCGACGGACTCTAAGGTAGTTTGTTTTGACAAATTCGCACGCGAGGGCTTAATTCCCCACGGTGAGCACACCATTATCTCGTGTATGTTCATTATTCAAGCTTTTTTCAGCGCGTAGTATAGTTTCGTTTATATAAGCGCTTTGGGAAGTTTGTAGCGTTACATGTATGAGTGTATTTTTCGCATGTGCTCGTTTTATGCGCAACTCATAGTGTGACCTATTCTGAAATCAAGCTGCGGTAATTCTTTCCTCCGAACATTTTTTTTTCGCATGTGTGTATGTACACATGCACAAGAACGCGCACCTGAAGGTCACGCGTTCACCGATGCAATATATATATATATATATATATATATATATATATATATTAAAATAGAGGTGTTGTACGTCGAAAAAGGTTCAGACGCAGCTTGGAAAAATATGCTTTATCAGGCAGGTCTGGCTAATGGCGAGCGGCGTGCGCGAGCTACTACTGCAGCCACCGATCATCGTCGTCTTCTTCATTGCCAGCCGAGGGTCCGTTATTCAGATTCATTAATTCATTACAATTACTCCCCGTGAAATAAGGAGCCATCCTGGCGACCTATGGACAAGTAAACACGGGAGGGTCGTAGCAGGGCTTAAGTCTCTAGACGTGGACAATTTCCTGGCTACGACGACGTTGGTCAGAAGATGGTTCCAGTGGCTCAATGAGGTAATTCACTGGTGACATTTTTTGTAGCAGACGATATGGACCGTGATACTTGGGGACCAACTTGGTAGAAAGGCCAGGTGTAGCAGAAGGGACATGCAGCCAGACGAGTGAACCTGGATCGTAGGAAGTAGTGTTACTTGATGCGTCATGGTGGTGCTTTTGGCGTCCTTTGTCTTGGGTTGTGAATGATCTTGCCAGTTGGCGGCATTCTTCAGCGTATGTAGCGGCTTGAGACAAAGTCGTGGACTCTGAAGAGTCAGGTTTGTACGAAAGAATGGTGTCCATAGTGCAAGAAGGTTCGCGTCCGTAAAGGAGGAAAAAAGGAGAGAACCCAGTTGTGCTTTGAATGGCGGTATTATAGGCGAACGTGATAAACGGGAGCACTCGGTCCCAATTGGAGTGGTCTGACGAGATATACATAGACAGCATGTCACCAAGGGTGCGGTTGAAGCGCTCTGTCAATCCATTGGTCTGGGGATGATAGGCGCTTGTAGTGCGGTGAACGACGTGGCACTCACGCAGCAATGCTGTGATGACGTCTGACAAGAATATGCGACCACGATCGCTCAGTAACTCCCGAGGTGCTCCATGACGTAATACAATGTTGTGAAGTACGAAAGTCGCAACGTCTTTTGCTGTAGACGAGAGAAGGGATGAAGTTTCGGCATACTGCGTGAGATGGTCGACGGCAACTATGATCCAGCGGTTACCGTCAGCAGTGTTGGGAAGGGGACCATAGATATCGATGCCGACGTGGTCGAATGGTCGGGATGGGCATGATAAGGGTAACAAGGTACCGCTGGCGTGATAAGGGGGAGTTTTTCGTCTCTGGCATGTCGAGCAGGCCCGAACGTATTGTCGTATAAAACGGTACATGCCACGCCAGTAATATCGGAGACGTATGCGAGAATAAGTCTTCAGGAAACCTGCGTGTCCACATTGGGGGTCGTCATGAAACATGGAACAAATTTCGGATCGCAGATGACGTGGAATCACGAGTAGCCACTGACGTCCACCGGGTGCGTAGTTGCGTCGGTACAGCACGTCGTCGCGAGTGGCAAAGTGCTCGACTTGCCGACGCAACGAGCGAGAAGGGGGGGAAGCCGTCCGCCCAGCTAGGATGTCAAGAATCGAAGCAACCCACGGGTCCTTGCGTTGCTCAGATGGCATGTCGGCGATGGTGACGGCAGTGGCATCACAGGTTAGCCTTTCGCAGCAGTCCGGGTCAGGGGGTAGGGGCGAACGGGATAGGGCGTCTGCGTCCCAATGTTTCCAGCCGGAGCGATAGACCACGCGAATATTATATTCTTGGAGGCGTAATGCCCATCGGGCGAGGCGACCGCTTGGATCCTTCAGTGACGACAACCAGCAGAGGGCGTGGTGGTCAGTCACGACGTCAAAAGGGCGTCCGTACAAGTAAGGTCGAAATTTCTCTATCGCCCAAATGATGGCCAGGCATTCCTTTTCAGTGACGGAATAGTTGATTTCGGCTTTGCTAAGAGTTCGGCTTGCGTAGGCAACGACGTACTCTTGGAAGCCGTTTTTCTTCTGTGCAAGAATAGCGCCTAGCCCGACACCACTAGCGTCGGTGTGGATCTCTGTGGGTGCCGATAGGTCGTAGTGTCGCAGAATAGGCGGCGACGTGAGGAGGCGGCGCAGTTCATTGAAAGAATCGTCACAGGTGGCAGACCAGGCTGAAAGGTCTCTAGAACCGGCGAGGAGCTTGGTCAAAGGAGCGATGATCGTCGCGAAATTGCGAACGAAGCGCCGGAAGTAAGAGCACAGGCCTATGAAGCTTCGGAGCTCTTTCATGGTGGTCGGTTTGGGAAACGCTGAAACGGCTGTAAGTTTGGCAGGGTCAGGATGAATGCCGTCTTTTGAAACCACGTGGCCAAGGATCGTAAGCTTTCGAGCGGCGAAATGGCACTTCTTCAGATTCAATTGCAGCCCCGCGGCAGAAATACACGCGAGGACTTTCTCGAGGCGGGTTAAATGGGTTGCGAAATCAGTTGAAAAGACGACAATGTCATCTAAATAACAAAGGCAAACGTTCCTTTTGAGGCCTCGAAGGATAGAGTCCATCATTCGCTCGAAAGTAGCCGGCGCGTTGCAGAGGCCGAAGGGCATGACTGTGATTTCGTAAAGCCCGTCGGGCGTGATGAAAGCTGTTTTCTCGCGATCGGCTTCTGCCATGGGTACCTGCCAGTATCCAGAGCGCAGATCTAAAGAAGAGAAAAATTCGGCTCCCTGTAGGCAGTCCAAGGCATCGTCAATGCGTGGCAGCGGATAGACATCCTTGCGCGTGATTCGGTTGAGACGTCGGTAGTCCACGCAAAACCTGATGGATCCGTCCTTCTTCTTCACCAACACAACTGGAGAGGCCCAGGGACTGCTTGACGGTTCGATTATGCCACGTGTCAGCATGTCGTCAACCTGTTCATTAATGGCACAGCGTTCGGTAGTTGACACACGATATGGACGCTGCCGTAATGGCGTCTCTTGACCGGTATCTATACGATGAACAACAGATGACGCTCGACCTAAGGAAGGCTGATTGTGGTCAAACGAGGCCCGAAAACGCTGTAGGAGCTTGATCAGCTGTTCCTGCTGCCCAGGCGTGAGGTTGCAATCAATGGACTTGCGGAATACATCCATAGGTTCATTAGTGTCAGCTGCGGGTGTAATGGCACAAGTCGGTAAAAATGGCTTGTCTGGATAGATCGGGTCTTCGAAAATACAATTTAAGGTCTCGAGGCTCCCCAGACACTCGCCGCGTAGCAGGATGTATGGGCAAGCAGAAACGTTGCACGCATAAAGTACCGCCGAACCACTGGAAAAGTTGATGACGGCAAACGGGAGGACGATGGTTCGGTGTTGCACACTAGCTATAGTTGGTTGGACCAGGAGCGTCGAGTTAGTGGCAGCAGGGGAAAACACAGGCACTAGGACGGCGGACAACGGCGCGATGTGGACGTCAGCTGCGGCAAACACTTTCGAGGGACTTTGGTGGTCGATATCAAGCCACGGATTCGTCAACGTGAGTTCAGCACGAGCGCAGTCGACGAGGGCCTGATGGGTAGAAAGGAAATCCCATCCTAGTATGACGTCGTAAGATGAACGTGGGAGAACAACAAAGTTGACGGCGTACCAAAAATCTTGAATAAGAACGCGTGCTGTGCACTGAGCTGTCGGCGCGATGAAATGGG